GTTTGGTGGGACGGGGATTCGAACCCGCGCCCCTCAGATTACGAGTCGAGCGCCCTAACCACCTGGCCATGCCGGGCCCAGGGTCGTCGGTAAGTTTATGATCTTACAACGAAAAAATACGGTGTTCGATTCCCAGCCTTGGACAGAGTGCAGATTGTATATCTCTGTTTTAAGAAAACAACAACAACAATAGTTTACTAAAAGCTAATAGGAAAGTAATAATTTTGCGAAAACGCAACAAATAACAAGACTGCGCATTTCTGATCAAATCTACAGACTCAGTAACTCATGCATAATATACATTGCAGTGATATTTGACGACGTGCTAGCATATATCTCCATTTTCGTCACCCCCCTCCCATAATTTACCCAACCATCACTTTGGATAGCTAAGTTATGCCACTGTATATTTATTGCTCCTAGCTGTTAAAAATTATAAAACCACACACACGCGAAAAAAAAAAAAAATCAATGCCACATGCAGCAATACCTTTCATGATTTTAAACTGTTATCAACTCGCTTTAAGTTTCGTATACCCGTCTTTTTTATTATTTTTACTAAATTACCTCGATTCTATTCTGATGTTAATTTACAGAAGAACACAGCCCAAGGGGGTTAAAAGCCAACTAAGAAATTCACAAGTGATTTGTGAATTAAGTTCACTACAATTCAAAATAAAAGTTTAAATTAATTACTCTGTTTAATGTAACGTTAAATGTTTGATGTCATTTTACAAAGTATAATTATGTAAAAATAACATATAATAAAAAAATTCGTTGATTAAATTACGAAACAGAAAGAAATTTGAACTCCAATGCACTTTAATTTATCTAATTATTGCTTTTTTTTAAACACCCAGAAAACTCCCGATTTAGATAACTTAGATGCTTCTGTTTGGCTGTCATAAAGACGTATTAAACCAACATCAGAATGAGATATAGAATCATTAGTTTGTTTGTTTGTTTGAAGTTAAGCACAAAGCTACACAATGGACTATATGTGCTCT